AACAGACACCATATGACTCGCATAGCTGAAAATATTTACTTTGTAACCCTTTACTGAAAAACTTAGCCAATTTCTGCTCTGTAGGCTGTGGTCAATAAAGAAAACAAAAGTTCACAGTTTTATTAACCCACTCATGAACAGTTACTTTTTTGTTTTGTTTTGTTTTTGAGTTGGAGTCTTGCTCATTCTTTCAGGCTGGAGTGCAGTGGTGTGATCTCAGCTCACTGCAACCTCCCCCTCCAGGGTTCAAGTGATTCTTCTGTCTCAGCCTCCCAAGTAGCTGAGATTACATGTGCATGCTGCCATGCCTGGCTAATTTTTGTATTTTTAGTAGAGACAGGATTGCAGCATCTTGGCCAGGCTGGCCTTGAACTCCTGACCTCATGATCCCCTCATCTCAGCCTCCCAAAATGTTGAGATTACCGGCATGAGCCACCACACCCAGCCCAGTTACTGTTTTTACCTTTTATTCCCTGCAGTCATTTCTCTGCATTTATTTTAAAGGAGTTGAGGTTTTGTACATACTTTTATACATACGTATACATCTTTTCATTTGGTATGGTCAGGAAATTAATATATCTTGTTTTTGTTATTAAGAATTTTTGTCAACTTCATTTTATATGGCTACTTAACCTATCACAAAAATGTCCCATATGTTATAGTTGGACATTTACATTTTAATTTTTCACTATATAAAAGTATTCTAAATTAGATTTTTGTATGTATGTAAAACTTTTTTAGTATTTTATATTCTTCCTTATTTGGGAATAGCTTTAGAGGAGTGGAGTTCATGGCATACTTCTGGCACATGCAATTCATGATAATTGATGATTTGCTGAGGTTTTTGACATGCTGAAACCTTAAAACTTTTGTTAGACTTGGGTTTTCTATTCTCTTTCTGCCTTATAATTGGGAGTTTGCATATTTTTTAAATCATATAATTTGAAAAATGCTACACTGTTACTGCATTTGCTCCCAACAAAAATAGTAAATTATAACAATGTGATTTAAAGCAGAAACGTAAGTGATGTAAAGGTAAAATCACAATCCAGATAGACATGTTTGATATGGCAATTTTGTGAGTGATTTGCAAACTTATTTGTAAAAACTGGAATATGTTTATGGAGAAGTAAAAGATATTTGAATGTTCTATACTTTCTAAAAAAAGATTTTTATGCTTAGCATAAAGATATTTCATGCTGAAATCGGGCTACCAATTATGTTCTTTGCCCAACACTTGGTTATCATTTTTATCTAAGCCTAATATCTTACTTCATTACTTTTGTGCTTTTTTATTTTGCATCTTTCATTCTGTAGTTTTGTGACTTTGAGCTAGTTGTTTAAACTTCTCTGGGCTTCAGTTTCCTTATTTGTAAACAGGTGATAATATGTACATCAAAGAGTTGTTGGGACTGAGTAAGATTGTGAACAAAACAAACTTCTTGCCCTTTTGGAGCTAAAATTGTAGTGCCAGAAGAAAGACAATAAGTAAATTAAAAAATGTATACGATCTGCAATTTCTTTAAAAAAACCATGTTATAGAAAAAAAAAAATCAGAATAAAGATGAGAGTAGGCTTCTCTGACAAGATTGCATTTGAAAAGAGACCTAGTAGAAGTGAGGGAGTAAATTACATGAGCACCCCAGGAAAAAGTACTTCAGGCAGTGGGAATAACAAGTTCACAGATTTCCTTATTACTCAAATTGCTTTGAAGGTATTAAAATGCCAGAGAACCTTTTTAAGACCTAGAAGGAGGGTTTAAGAAACAACCACTAAAACTCAATGGGAAAGATGAATAAATTTGGCCACATTAAAATTAGAGCTTTCTATATGACAAAACAATTTAAAACACAAACTATAAAGTAGGAGAGTCGGTATACAGTACTTCAGGCAATTCGTATCTACCAAAAAAAAAAAAAATGTTTCAAAGCTGATAAAATTAAGCAACTGTGCTTTTGGAACAAGGGGGAAGAAAAGGGGGTAGTGTACTGAAGATTAAACCAAATAAAGCAGAATTAACATATCAAAAGATGCTTAGAACCAAGTGGGGAGCTATTGATACAATTTTTTTCCTTACCAGTTTGATAAAAATAATTTGGCAGTATTCTGTTAGTGAAATTAAGAAAAATGGAAACTTACATTGCTCATTTGAGAGAACAGTATGATTGTACCTAACAACTTTGAAAATACACTTACTGAACCTCTCAAAAATTCCACTTCTGGTTATAAACCATAGAGAAAATATTGCACATATACTCTAGGAAACCTGTAAAAATATATTATTTGCAGGAATATTTCTAGTAGCAAGCATTTGGAAACAAATGTTATCGTAAGATAAAGCAATAAAATATGATATACTCTTACAAAAATTATTTACATAATTTTCTGTTACTACATTGTTTGAATTTAAGCAGTTGAAATGAGAAGCAGGTTACTCATAGTTTTCAACATTGTAGCAATACAGAAGGAGAGTAGTAAAAATGATATGAAGATACATTTATAGGGATATGTTATACTTTGGTGACCAAATGTAGTGCCCAATAAAATACACTTTTCGCTTTTCTAATAACAATTTTGTTTTCTTAAACACAAAAGTCTTTGTGTTTTACAAACAGATATATATATATATTTGTGTACATGTGCACTTGTGTATAAAATTTGACCCTAAGAACATATTAAAATATGGCTTTACTACTATTAAAACTGTCATACATTTTATTTTGTAAGCTTTATTTTCCCCAGTTAATAGAAATACTGCCATTTCTCCCATGATTCATTAATGGAACTGAAGAAGCTGCTCAGCAGATGGAATCATTAAATGAATATATGTTTTACTTTTAATATCTACAAAATTTCATCTTAAATGCCATTTATGTTTGGAATATTTAAGTGTCATAGTAGCCGGGCGTGGTGGCTCACAACTGTAATCCCAGCGCTTTGGGAGACCAAGGCTGGCAGATCACTTGAGACCAGGAGTTCAAGACCAGCCTGGCCAACATGCTGCAACCCCATCTCTACTAAAATACAGAAATTGTCTGGGTATGGTGGTGTGCTCCTGTAATTCCAGTCACTTAGGACACTGAGCGATGAGAATCGCTTTAACCCAGTAGGCAGAGGTTGCAGTGAGTCAAGATCATACCACTGCTCTGCAGCCTGGGCTACAAAGTGAAACTCTCTCAAAAAAATAAAAATAAAAAAGTCATAGTAAAATAACCTGCAATTCTGTTTGAATTGTCAGCAGATTAAATATGTATATTTAAACGTGTAGATAAAAATTTTACATGAATATAAAAGGTACTGCAGAAAAAATTATTAAAGGGGAAACTTTTAGTAACTCCTTGTTAAGGATCCAAATCAGTCACATCTGTCTGCTCCAGAAAACTGAGTTTTAAGCAGTAGAAATCTACACATGAACCGTTTTAGTGAAACAAGTTTTTAATTAAATTTGTTATTATCAATGTCCAGTGTTTATGGATTTGCGGTAATGTATACAAGTAGAGACGGTCCAAAACACATTAAGAATGATGAATCTAATTTACAGCCTATAGACTATCATACTGGTAATACCAAACAGTCATTCTCTTAACAATATTCTTTTCAGGCCACTGCTGCAAGATTGAAACCCAGGAATTTCATAAAAATTTCAGTGTTTTTTAAGCTGTATAGCACAAATCTCTAAAAGTTTAGTGCTAGTATATGGTACGTATGTGTATGGTGGTGAGGGTTGACATTGTGCAGGGTGGCAGGGGCTTTTTCTCTTGTATACATTAGGCTTCCAAATATAGGTTGTTCATGATTTTTTTTCCAGAAAGGGTTCCAATGGTAAAACAAATAATTTGAAAAACATTTGTATATAGAGGTCATGGAAGCATAAATGCCTCACGAGAGAAGCCAGGCATGTATTATTATTCAGAAGTTGGATAATATGGTCACGAAGACAGACTTGAATATGAACATTACAATTTATTAATCAGAATTTCAGTCATTTGGGTCTAAAAACATGACTCAGAGAGGTAATGTTCTCTGCAAAATTTTCTCTGACCTCCTCCACTTGATCGTATAGACATTGCCCAATGTTATCCTTTGAGCTTTTGTTAGTGGTATCATCCTGCACAGGAGATTTACTGATGCTGTTTATATACAAATAGCAGTAGAAATGAATACAAGGGAATCATAATGAAATTAAGCAAATTGTAGAGTTCTGGCCTAGAATTTTTATTTTTCTCTTCAATTTTTAATCTGTGAATCTTTGGGCAAAACACATAATATATTTTCAGAATTGAGTTCTAAATCTTAAGAGTAGACAGTGTCAAAAATATTATAAAACATGGCAAAGAATTTTTTATGAAGATGAAAATTTCCCATCATTCTCTTAATTCTAGCATTATTCAGCCTAACATGAATACAGCCATCCTATTGCAAGCAGGTATAAAATACAAAAGTAATTTTGTGATCTCATTCTTAAAAGTATCAGTTAGCTGACTAGCTCAGGGTTCTGCTAGATTCATTAAATTATTTTATTAAAATATGCTTGTTTGCGTTGGTAAGACTTTTAATTGTATACCCCCAGATTTTCCAGTGACATACCTGACCTTCATAAAGATTTCAACTAAACAAAACCGATGAAAAAACGCATTTAGAAAAAAGCTATGTACACACACACACACTATGAAAATGAAATGTGTCACCATGTCTGTAAGCAGTGCATATCTTTATGTATAATGTGAAATGTTGTAACCAGTTTTGAGAGTCCTTATAGTTTATATGTTCTGTGAAAATCCTGGAATTTAAGAGCCGTTAGATTTAGCCTCTCAGTATCTCGCAAATCGAAGTTTCAGTTTATAAATTTTAAAAATTAAGGCATATGTGCTTATCCAAATGGTGATTTTATGTTATATAAAGATAATTCATTGTATTTACCTTTGTGTGCATTTGTAATTTAACCATTTTGGAGCATTGTGTTCAGACCCAGAAAAATTAATAGATTTTACTCATCTATTTCTACGGCTTCCTTGACAACTACTGCAGATGCTGCTATCACCATGGGGATGGTTCTTCTAAATGAAGCAGCAACTTCCAAAGGAGATGTTGGAAAAAGACGGAGTAAGTCTCTGTGTTGACATTTTTGTAATTTCGTTTCAGTCTTAAGATTCATTTAAGTCAAATGGGAAACACATCAAAGCCCTTTGTAAACATAAACTTTTAAAGAAAAGTTCTGGTTTGCAGAAGTTCAGATTTTTAACTTGTTTCTATTTCTGGGATGTGTTCATATACTTGAAAATATGTCTTCCAAAAGAGGACTGGGTGATTTTCTGTGGAATGGCATAGAAAGTGGAGCTGTCCTTCACCCTTTTCTGGGGTGCTCTAATCCATCCATGCTGAAGCCATAGTCTTTGTTGTAATTCCATCCCGGATAGAGAGATGGAAAATTTTGTGGGCAGAATATTCAGAGATTTTATTGGCATATAACATTCCCTCTGCCACAAGAATAGGGTATGCACTCAAAGCCTGACTCTGATGGAGAAGCTTTTGCATAGGTTTTCTACGCTGAGATAGTACCTTACCACTCGTTCCAGAGCCTTCTTTTACATTTTTAAAAGGACATCTGTTGATATAATCTTTTCAAGGCTCTTTGCCTTTCCACTGATAAACCAAGATTTATGCCTGTATCAAGTTCTCTAGCATTATGTTTTTAAGCAAGTTAATTGTGTTGTTTTTCTTTGATGGGACTGTTCCTCTCAGAGTTGTGGAAAAACATGTAGTTTTGAGAAGTAAAGATTTTGCTAGCAAGAAGAAAAGAATACATAGGGAAAATATGCTCTGGGGAGCATAGGTTAAAAAAGGACAGTCGATGTTTCCTGTCAGAGACCCTTTTATAATTAATATCAAGTCCCTGTATGATTTGATATGTCCACAAACCTATAATTTTCTGTCCTTTGCATGTCTGAACTCTTTAAAATTCACAATTTATGTATGACCAACATAGGTGTCTGAAAAAGACTATTGATTAAGGTATTTAAAATAAAAGTCAGACTTAGTTTATGGGTTTTTAGCTAGTGCAACATGTATGTAAACAAATCATAGTGCTCTCTGAATACTCAGAAGTCTTAAGGGTTGAAATGTTTTTGATGTAATACGCAGTTTAGATTGCCCTCTTTTCCTATGGTATTGTCTATACATTGTTTTAAAGAAGTGACAAAAGAAATGAGCACATTACTTTATTGATGTTGAATTTTATTTTTTTTATCTTTTGAATTAACATTATGATATTTTGGGGATTGACAAAGTATGCCTATGAGAACATACTCTTAATTTCAACTTTTATTTTAGATTTGGGGGTACATGTATATGTTTGTTACATGGGTATGTTGGATGATGCTGAGGTTTGGGTATGGATCCCATCACCCAAGTAGTGACCATAGTACCCAATACATGTTGTACACTGAGAGACTACCTCGATCCCCACTCTAGTCATGTCTGTTCTCATCTTTATGTTCACATGTATGTAATGTTTAGCTCCCACTTACAAGTGACAACATGTGGTATTGGGTTTTCTGTTTGTGTTACTTTACTTAGGATAATGGTCTCCAGCTGCATTCATGTTGATTGTAAAGGACACGATATTGTTGTTTTTTATGGCTGCATAGTATTCCATGGTGTATATATACCACATTTTCTTTAATCCATCATTGATGTGGTATATATATACTGTGGAATCAGCTCAGGTTGATTGCATGTATTTGCTGTTGTGCATAGGACTGCAGTGAACATAGCGTGCATATGTCTTTATAGTAGAATTATTTATTTTTCTTTGGGTTTACAATCAGTAAGAGGATTCCTGGGTCGAAGATAGCTCTGTCTTAAGTTTTTTGAGGAATCTTGAAACTGCTTTCTGCAGTAGCTGCTCTAATTTACATTCCCGCCAACAGTGTGTAAGTATCCCTTGTTCTCCCCTTCCTCACTAGTATCTGCTGTTTGACTCTTTAATCATAGACATTCCGACTGGTGTGAGATAGTATCTCATTTGGTTTTGATTTGCATTTCTCTGCTGAGTAGTGATAATGAACATTTTTTCATGTTTATTGGCCACTTGTATGTCTTCTTTTAAGAAATACCTGTTCATACGTTTTTTCCACTTTTTATTGGGGTTGCTTTTTTGCTTGTGGATTTATGTTACCTGTAGATTTTGGATGCTAGATGTTTGTCAGATACACATAGCTAGCAAAAATTTTCTCTCATTCTGTAGGTTATGTACTCTGTCTAGTTATTTTGAGGCACGTTAATCAGTCCCATCTGCCGATTTGTGTTTGCAATTGCTTTTGGAAACTTAATTAAAAAAATTGTTTGCAAAGGTCAGTGTTGAAAAAGGTATTTCCTATGTTCTAGAATTTTTAAAGTTTTAGGCCTTTTATTTAAGTCTTTAATGCATCTTAATTTTTATATATGGTAAATGGTAGGGGCCAAGTTTCATTCTCATGCATATGGCTAGCCAGTTGTCCCAGCAGCATTTATGGAATAGGGAATCCTTTCCCCATTGCTTTTGTCTGTGTGGTTGACGATCAGATGATTGTGGGTGTGCAGCTTTATTACTGGGTTCTCTATTCTGTTCCATTGGTCTATGTGGAGGACATAGTCTTAACTTCATGTTTATTGTATGTCCTGTCTTATAAAAGTACATAATAGTAAGAAATGTGTAGACATTTTTAAATCTTACATTTATTATGATAATATGATACTGAATTAAATTACTATTTCCAACTTCCCTCTTTGTAGATGTTTCTCTAACTCCAGCTCCCAACCACCCCCAAATTGTTTATTCATGTTATGTGTGTGTATGAGAGCAAGCTGGAAAGTATATTTAAAAATTTTTTAAGTATTCCTTTCTGATGTGATTTTGGTTTTGATGAGGCACAACTACTATGATTAGTGTTTCCCAGGTTTAGGATGCTTCCATTTCATCATGGCGTTTTCTTTTCACAGGTGTAGTATCTCATACGGCTGCCATGGTTCCTTTAATAATTACTAACCCCTCAGTACGTTCAGTTCTCCTTTCCCATAAGCAAGTACTTGAGTAGCATTATTTTGTCCCACTGCATAGGATCAAGTAAATATCTTCCGTCTTACTTGATCCCATATTTGGAGCCTCATTTTCCATAAAGCACAACCCAGTGGGGGCTACTAAAAAGGAACAAAGGGAATGAAAAGAGTGCTCCATTCTTCTGAAAAATAAAAAAAAGGAGATATATGGAAAAGAAAGGAATGTTAGATAAAATGCCAGATTTGGGGAGGTAAAAATTATTTTGTAATTAATTATAGGTTTAATAAGATTGTCATAAGCAAAGTTGTTAATACGTTGTATCTAGGTCCTGGTGTCTGTCATATGGGTATATTCTATAATTTTCAAAGTAATATTCACAAACTCATTTTTTGCTTTATTTTCTGCCAATATTCATTTGAAGTTTAGCTGTGTGAGTGTTGTCTGAAATGAAATGTTAGAGGCTACACTTGGATGCTATTAAATGCTCGTCATGTTTCACAATTTATATTAAAAACCTGGAAGATGATATTCCTGCAAAGTTGCATAAAAACTGACTGACACATTTGCAGACCATATTTTGACAAAGCCATTCCTTACGTACTTACTCCATGATTTCCAGAACTGCAGTTAAACTTGGTTTCATTTGTATGTTGGCAAAAATTTTTAAAAATCGTATTACGGAATCATATAGATGTGTTTGATTTTCCTTATATTCTTCTGCTTTTAGTGTTTTTAATCTTTTTTCTTTTACAAATAATTTCAAATATTATTCAAATTGTGTAGAATTCTCTGAAATGAATAAAAGGTATATTGTGCAAATTATATGTTCTTAAAAGATGTTTAGATATTTCATAAGACATTAAATATATTTGCCTTCTTTTACTCTAAATGTACTTTAATTGGCTCAAATATTTAAGCATTTCAATTTTATATGTTTACGTTTATTTTACTAATAATTGACTTGAATTATTTAATGACATATCCAAAATATATATGCAAAAGGAACATTTTATTAGTCATCTACTTTAGAGTAAAATCTTCTTAATCATAATAAAGAGGAAATGAGGAAATAAAAAAGTACTTTTCCTATTGTCAGCTTTCCTGCGACAGAAATATTGAAAATTGGACTGTAACATATGCTCCCTGTTTCTTTTTAAGACTAACAACATTTTGCCACTATTTTAAGACTAACAACATTTTGCTATTGAGGGGATTTTCTCCCTGCTGGCTCTCTCTCTGCAAGTTTTTATTCCTAGGCTTTTGTACATTAGGATGAACTCTTTCTATAACATGCTCTTACTAAGGCAATACTAACTGAAAACCTAAAATTACTGCATAGCATTTGAAAAGATTAAAATTATATTAACCATTCTAATAATGCAAATGTTCCTGCTAATATACCCAATGCTTCATAATGCAAGGGCCAATAATCTTGTGTGTGGTTTATAACATGTTTTGTTTTGATCACTCTGGGGCATGTTAGTACCTGTAGGAACTCTATAAGAGAAGAAAACCTCCATAAGACTTAGATCAGTCAATTTTGTTGTTTTCATACCCCAAATAGTACATTTTCATTGAGAAGAATGAACACATTGTATTGTGGATAATCTGGTTTGTTGTACCTGTATGTGGCATGAAGTATTAAATGTAAGTATACTATAATTGAATGCATTTAAAACTATAAACAATTGGGGTTTCATTTGCATATTTTTAGACACTAATGGTATTTTCTGTCTGTTTCTAGTAATTTGCCTAGTGGGATTGGGCCTGGTGGTCTTCTTCTTCAGTTTTCTACTTTCAATATTTCGTTCCAAGTACCACGGCTATCCTTATAGGTAATATCTTTATACTAACATGAATGTTTTTATTCTTAACCTAATAGAACAGAATTTTAGTGGTTAATATATAATTAAGGATTAATGTCAAATAGCTTACTTGCTGTGTGATTTTTAAATTCCGTTAAGTTTTTGAGCACCTGCCATGTGTTCAGCATGGTAAACTACAACATGGAGATATAAGGTATAGTTTTTGTTCCCCAACAGGTACAGTTTCTTTTTAGACACTCATATTTTCATACGTACATATAACAAATGAAGTTTAAGCTCATTTTGAGGACTTCAGAATTTTTTCTTAGTTTGTCTAATTATGATTTTGACTTTATTTGCAAGATTGTTTTGTCATATAATCCAGTGTTCATTGTCTGATAAACTTTGCATTTTAAATTCTACAACATTTTCACTTTGCAAAATAAGAGCCAACATGAAAGGGAAAAATTAAATGATAGAATAATCTCTGGTCACTAAAATCACTGTAACGAGTAAATTGTCATAATTGGAGATGAAAAGATACTGAAAATTCAAACCATACTTTCACTAAAGCACACTACATTAGATGTGCCAGATTACAGTTGTACGGTTTATGAATTAGGCCTATATTCATTCGTGTGCTTTTTCCTCCCTTAAGTTTTCTTAAATAACTGCTTCGTTTTCTCTTGGGAGTCCTTCTTTTAGCTTAGCTCATCTTTCTCTAATAAGCAGAAGCTCTGTATTTCCTTTTTCAGAGATTTTGAGGATTGTGCTTAGGTAGTATAACCAGTGCTATGTTGATAGAAAATAAAAGCTCCCTATAGCCTACATTTCTTCCACCTATGAACAGTGGACATTTTTAGAACGTTTCTACACCGATCATAGCAACAATATATAGCTTAATCAGGGACAAAACTAATCCCATAGAAGTGAGATTTGACTATGGGATAATAGAAGAATAAGAGTCTTCAACCCCATCTCTCTATTTTCATATATGGCCACATTTCCAATTCTCTTCTTTCCACACCCATTACAAATAAATATACTAAAGGAATGGAAGAATTGTGGGTATCAGATTCAGCTTGTAGGAACATCACCTGACACCCTGCCTGCAGTGTAAATTTTTAAAAGTATCAGTTCTGATGGTAGCAAGAGTTATGAGAGAGGCAAGCAGAGTCTTCAGTTTTTTCATTTTATTCTTGACATTAGTTAGCTGGCCAATTTTCGTTTGGATGATGTGAAATAAATGAATCAAATCCAAGAATAAATAATGCCCCATAAAGATGAAGTTTTTTTGTTTTTTTTTTTTAATTTTGCCCTGCTCTAGGAAGGAGAATTGTGGTTCTGTATGATTGATACTCAGTTTAACATATGTTATATACTGGAAGCTGTAAATTAAGAAAAATAAAAATTATCTAGGATGTGAAAACACTTAAAAATTAAAACATTTTTATCTATAGCACTTAAAATATCAAAGGAAATGTTGTATCTCTTTTTATAAAATGATAAACTGTATAGTAAGTTATATTGTGAGATTCTTAAGTTCTTTTTAGTTGACAGGGGTAAAAGGCAAATTCTAACTTTTCTTGTATATCAGAGCATGCAATGATACCAGAATATCATTCCCTATCTGACTCAGCAATATAATGACTAGGAAAAGTGGAAAAAAGTAAGTTTTACTAGTTTTTTATAATGTTACATTTGACAGCACTATTTTTTGTTACAATATGAAGAGTTTTCAAGTTTGTACTTTTTTTCCAAGTAATAGTCATTTAGTATAATAAGTCTCCAGTGCTCTGGGTTTTTGTTGTTTTTAACCAAGGTTGGACATAGAAATTACCTGGGAAGAATTACTATTCAGATCTATGCCACCAAGGATACATATTTCAAAATACATATCCTTGGTCGCATAGATCTGAATAGTAAATGCATCTGAACCAGAGTACCTGCCTCTAATTTTATTTCTGTGTGAATGTGGCATTTGAGCACTCTTATTATGTAACCAGTCCCACACTCCTGTCAACTCCCCACCAGCCTAACATGAGATAGATTTGCCTTTAGCAGACCTCATGAGGCTAGAAATATAGATGAAACTCTTGTAAGAAGTCAGAGATGTAAATTATGCCTTAGAGTGGTTTGTGAATATTAAATTTGACATAGTTAAAATGAAAACCAGTAAGAAGGAGTTGCCAAGAAATAGAATCAGAAGAGAGCCTCTCAAAGCAGCTTGGGAAACCAGGTGTGCTAAACAGTGTGGCATGCAGTGTAGAGAAATGGCAGGCAGGCCTCTGGCTGCTGTAACAGCTCTTCAGAGTGCTCTGTCATTTGCTGTGCTATTGTGTGGGTTTACCAGATTCACCTAAAGAAGCTAAACAGAGTTTGGCTGCCCTGTCAGGCAATTTTAGATTCAAGTAGCCAAAAGGCAATCAGTCTATTTTAGATAATAGGAGGTTGATAGGAAAGATATATGGAGAAGCAAGGAAGACAATTAAAAACCTAGTTGCCACGCAGCTAGATCTCACAGATGTTGGAAAAGTTCAGAAAATAGGTCATTCAGCAACAGAAATCCATTGTTTCAGAGATAACTCAATGATTAATACCTTGCTACAGTTCTTCCACTATTATTACTGAATAATTTCCTTGTACTGTTCTCTTCAGCTAATTGGACCCTTCCCTGTCTCTTTGGCTCCTACCCATGCTACTGGTCTCACTCTCTCAACATGATTTTGTGAATTTTCTTGTCTAAGAGGAAGAGAATGATTGGCTAGGTTTTTTACTCCCCAGGAGGAGGTGTCTGGTTTTAGAACTGCCAGGCCAGTCCACCCTCTGGACTCCTTGAAGGTATCTCCTTCACCACCTTGTGTTGGAGCTATTCAAAGAGCCCACTGAATGTAAATTAATTACCTGTTTCTTAGGCACATCCAAAAGAAGTCAAATACAATGACAAACACCTATAAAATATAAACCCAGCAAATATGTGAACAGAGTAGTATTTAATTCGGCTCATGTGTTTGGAATAAAAGATGTGCCAGTTTTTTTTTTTTTTTTTTTTTTTTGAGGGAGTCTTGCCTTCTCACCCAGGCTGGAGTGCAGTGGCGTGATCTCTGCTCATTCCAGCCTCTATCTCCCAGGTTCACGCAATTTTCCTGCGTCAGCTTCCTGAGTAGCTGAGATTACAAGCACAAACCCCCATGCACGGCCAATAGATTATTGATTATAAGAGATGGTTTTCAGCAACTCTGTGGCTTCTAAGTCCTACACCATATGCAACTCAATCAGAATCTCTGAGTGTGGGTTTTAAAATCAGGTGAATAGTTACCCAGGTACATTTTGATATAATCGTTTTATGAGTCAGTCTTAGGGAAGTGATAAAGGATTTCACAATTGCCTCAGTTTTCAATTTGAGTTATTAAACATATGCTTTATAGACATGCCGTGATGCTTGCTATGAAGTACTTTTGAATAACAACATAAAGTATCAAAAGCTAAATGGCAGATCTGTTTTATGGAGATATTTCACAGGTAGGAAAGATCACTGTGGGTTTGAGTGAGAAAGGACGACTCCAGAAGGTGGCTTGAATTAGGCTAAAATTTGACAAAGCATTTAGACAAAGGAGAAAAGAAGGGCTGAGGGTATTTCATGGAAAGAAAGTAATAATATGTGTACAGAGAATTGGGGAGAGAAATGTGTTCATGGCATCTTTTGAGGATTCTGAGTATGCTGCTATGGTGTGATAGCCTTAATATGTACTGGTCAATAATGAACATGTTTCTGGCTTAAAATCCATTAAATGTTCATAAATACACTTTCTGTATAATTAATTATGAAAAGAAAGATATACACTGAAAAGGAAATATTCTTAACCAGTTTGGGTGAATTTTAGGATAATTCTCTAATTCAAATTCTAGACATTTGCAAAACTAATAATTATTTTTCCAGATGAGATTTTGGGATTTTTTTTTTTCAAAACATCTTAGTGTTTAATAATTTTAGTCCTGGAAAGGGTCATGGAGATCATATCATTGAAATTCATTTTACAGATGAGACCTAAAGAGTATATCTATTTAAAGACAGAAGCAGAAAAATCAGATTCTTAGCTCACTTGTCTCTCCTGTGCCATATTTTGCGTAATCTGATTCGTGTATTCTCAGAAGTAGAAAATTGTCCCAGAATCAAAGTTGAAAACAACACAAAGTCAAATGTACAGTCACTTCAAAAATCTGATAGCCGAAGCCTCTAAGAAAAATGTTGACTAATTAGATATTCAGCACCAAGATAATAGCTTCCTTTCTCTTGAACTTGGTACAAATATATGCCATGAAACAAAAGGAAATACACAGAAAACGGACAGTGACAAAATCTACTTATTACATAAAAATTTAAATATTTATTATTCTTTACTAATGAAAGCTGCTGTAGTTTACATAGATGTGATTCCCTTTTTATATTTTTTCTAATATTTTTATAATCTGCTCTTTATCTATCCTCAGATCATTTCTCAGATTTGTTCTTTCTTAATTTCATGACTTAATTATCCAGCTATTCTGTCCAATTTAAATAATCCCTCTAATTATATCTTCCCATATCACATTAAAGCTTTCTAATATGTCCCTTCAGCCCTTTTGAGAACTGTCATTTATCCATTTTTCTACATTCTGTGGATATGCTGGTAAATTGTAAAGCAGGCTTTCATAAATCCTTATGGCATGCATAACCCACTTGAATTCTTTCGCTCCGTCAAGTTTATATAGTGTAATTGTTCCCTTCATGACATCTACAGTATCCTTCTAAACCAATAAAATACAGTTTAAAGGGGAGGTTTATGAACAACAATAACAAAAAGTTTTAATCCCTTTTGTTAGTCTAGGACCTATATATATGCTAAAGTTAAGTTAGTAATAATATATTTTACTTTGGGTTTTTTTAAATTCCATTGCATTATTTTCCTTTTAAGTAAGTTTTGTTGTCTTCTCAGTTATTTTAACAACTCACTTGTGAATGATTAGGATAATTGTCTGAGAAATATCAA